CATAGAACACCACAACTCAGTGGTGTGGCTGAGAGCATAATTGAACCCTACTAGATATGGTTTGTTCCATGACGAGTCGAGCTTCTCATCCTATTCATTTCTTGGGGTATACCTAAGAGACAACCACCCATATCTTGAATCTTGTTCCAAAATAGAAGGTTGGAAAAACACCTCATGAAATATGGACAAGGAAAGCTCCCTCAGTCACACATATCAAGATATAGGGTTGTGAGGCACTTATAATATGAGAGACTCATGACAAACTTGAACCCAAAGTCGAGAAGTGTTATTTCACTGGATACCCAAAAAAGTCCTTTGGATACTTGTTTTACAAACCTAGTGAGAACGTGGTCTTTGTAGCTTGAAGATGAGTTTTTTTGTGAGAAAAAGATCATATTCAAAGAGAACAGTGGGAGTGATATTGACCTTGAAGAAATTTAAGAGTCATCCAATGAAGGAAACTCTGACAACACTAGCACTCAACATAAGGAAGAAATTCTAGTTGAGCTAGTTGACAACTCATTACTCTTTCGCCGATTCACTAGAGTTAGCATGCCACCTGAATTTTATGGTTTCCATATAACTATAGTTGGTGATACATTTCTTAGTGATCGTACACTAGTAAATTTGGATGAACCTGCTAACTATAAAGAAGCAATGACAATCCCTAAGGTTGCTAGATGGAAGGAATAAATGGAGAGTGAGATTCAATCCATGTATAATAACCAAGTATGTAAGTTGGTTGAGCACAAACCTAGTCGAAAGACAGTTGGGTGCAAATGGTGATTGGTTTTGAGCATTCTAACACTCATATGGTGTACATGCAACCCTAGATGCTTTGGATCTGGGTTTTCTCTAATATACATGCAAACTTTCAATATTCCAAAGCATCATCCTAACTACCATACAATTGAGTATCTGTACTACAAAATTCTAGTTAGATGACATACCTTTTAGTGTAGTTGAAAACCTTGAAGCTTTAAGAGCCTAGCACCAATAATGTGAATGCCTCAAATGGAACAACCAATCACCACCAACAATTTGGAGGACTTGAGAGAATATTTCTTGCTTCACAAAATCGGATATGCTCTTCTAAAGACTCACTAGTACCGATTTCATGTGCTAGAGGATCTCTTATATAGTGTGTCATGATTAGGGTTACACCATGTAAACCCTAATGTGCATGACTTTTCACATTCCTTAGGCTCCATGGGTTTTAACTTCCATGGAATATCTATGGGTCACCACATGGGTTTATCCCAACATAGAGAACTATGGATCACAAGCCCACTATATAAGAATGAATGATTTACACAATCAATCCCTATATATTTAATTAGTCTCTTTTGATCACAAAATTAATTCCAAATTAATTTTTGGTCAATACTAATTAAATAATATGATTTTATATTAAATATTAGAACTTATAATATATTAATAAATCATAAATAATCTCTTCTCAAAAGTCCATCCTTATAGATTGTTTCGATGAAGTGCAACACAAATGGACCATGCTACTCTCGGGTGAAACAATGTCGAAACGTCACATCGCCGGAAATGAAGCGACAGTCGAGTGAAACAACGACACGTGTACTAGTAACTAAGTCTAGAACATCATAGCTAGATAGCATACACTATGACTACTGGACTGGGGGACTTGATGACGCGCCCCTTAGAAAGGGCCCGAGACAGGTGAACCTCGACAAGGCGCCTCCGGTGGGAGCCACCTCAGCGACCCCAGACTCCTGAGGTGACCGTACAGAAGGCTCACCCTCATTAAAATATTGTCTTTTAGCTACAGCCTGGAAACGATGGATCCAGGCAATAAAACACCCAAACGGAGCACAATTGCATGGACCAATCACCGGGATGAACACGAATGTGGAGCAGGACTCCCCAATAAGAATGACGGATCCTGTCAGGAGTGCATTACCGGTCCCCAGTACGGACCGAGGAAGATATCCACTATAAAAGGGGCCTTACCTTGGTTCCAACGAAGTAAGTCCTTCCTTCTCCAGTCTTATACCTCCACAATCCAACCTTCAACATACTAACTTGACCGTCGGAGCGTCTTTCCGGGACCTCCTCCCAGAGAGTGACTGACGTGTTTCTTCCTTATGTGACCTCTCAGGCTTAAGGACCGGTAAATTCTACTCACAGCAAGTGGTTTGGAGCCAGGTTGCATCAGTATTATTTAACAAAAAATAGCATGACAAATATGACAGCCCACACACTGTAATGACAAATCTTGGCTGCAATATGACAAATATGGTGTGACGTCTACATGGACTGTCGAAAGTGTGGTACCACTCTCTCTAACCTTATCAAGAAAGAGGGCTCTAATCCAAGCCTAAGCAGCAGGTTTTCACTTTTCATATGTTGAAAGAGAATCCGGTTTTCTAAATATTTTAGGTACGGTTTGCCTATGTGAAATCAAGACAATACGAACTAGTACAACCAGGTTTATTGGATGGGAACTGTGCTCTCTCTATTTTATATGACGTGGTTCAAAGCGAGTATCTAAGACCATGTGGTATACATATAACGAACATGTTTGTGGTCTATGTGGTCACGAACAACAATTGTGAACACCACCCCATATCCTTAGTGGTGGAAAAATTTGTGGTCAATTGTTGTGGGGAGGACGAACCACCACATCCAATGAACTTTTTTCTTTCTCTATCTCTCTCTTTCTCTCTCTACCTTTCTTTACATACTAATTAATAACAAAAATATATATTTTTTATTTTAATAATGATAAAATAAGAAGGATACAGTGGTAGGTATCCCAACCTTTTAGTGGTTGAATGTCGTAATGAGTTGGCACTCACCATTGTAGTGGTTAGTGGTGCGTATAACAGATGACCTAAGAACAATTTCACAATGCATATGATTGGGTCCTTTTAACTATGTTTTTTTAACGGCTATAACACACTTTTTAAATTTACTTCTAAAATACTTATTTTCCCACACTACAAGAAAATTTTGATTTAGCTACGAAAAAATTTCGTAGCTAAAAGCTAAAATTTCATTGCTAAACCTAAATAACTACAGAAGTTGCTACGGAATTTATCATGAGATTATGTAGGTATATTTCTTGTAGCAAACTGTTTAGCTACAAAATTATAGTTCCGTAGCAGTTTTGCTACGACATTTATTCCATAGCAATTTAACTACAACACACTTCCATAACAATTCTGTAACAATGGGGTGTGTAGCAAATTCCATAGCCATTTTTGCCGTAACAAATTCCATGGCCAATTGTTATTGTAGCAAATTCCTTAACTATTAGTTTCGTAGCAAATTCCGTAGCCATTTGTTTTTGTAGCAAATTTCGTAGCCATTTGTTCCGTAACAAATTTTTTAGTCATTTGTTCTATGGCAAATAATGTAGCCATTTGTTCCATAGGAAAAATAGGTTCCAAAATAAATTCATAACGATAAAAATACTCAACAAAATCCAATTTCCATTTAAAATATTCGTTGAAATATATAAAAATGTAATAAATTTAATTTTAATAGTTACATAGATTTTATAGATATATTACATAATTGAAAATCCTTTTACATGGTTCCCTAATCATCGATACTAAATATTTATTACAAATATTGTCACATGGTTCATATTGGAACCACCACAAACATACAAACAACCATAGCTGCTCAACAAAAATGGCACAACCTGCAAAATCAAATTTATAAACAAATTGGTTACCATTCAAATCTCTTGTATGAAATCTCATTATATCTTTAGTTTTCAACCAACTAGCGATTTAAAATATGAAAATAAACCAAAAATAGAGAAAAACAATCCAACTCTTCTATTTGATACACTATTATCATATACACAACAAACAAAATGAATCACGTTTAAAGCACCATCAGATCCAACATTAGCATGATGCAAAAAGAATTTGAAATAAAGTTAAAACAAAATGGCAATACAGTGATCGTAGACAACTACATATTAACTTGTTTTTATAAAACAAAACTTGGTTTTCTATTATAAAAGGTAATCTAGTAATTAAAGATTTTGATGTTTAAGTTTTTGTGTGCTTTCGTATCTGCAATATAATCGTACCCTAATTATTGATATTGCTCCCTAATTCCTTAATAATAAAATGTATCTTTTGTAGTTACTTTTTAAAAAAAGTTGTAATTTAACTAAAATCAGTAATTTTTTTAGATAGATGTTTCATCGAAAATTACACCACTAAAAACGGGTTAGATTACAATTTTTAAACATTTAAACTTACACAAACTAGATTGCTATTATTTGTAATATATATATATATATATATATATATATATATATATATATATATATATATATATATATTGATATTAACACAACCTTCCTTTATGACAATAATAGCAATGCACACACAAACATCTACGGTCCAATACACACATAAAAGTACCTAAAAAATGAAATCAATTCTTCTTTCCTATGTTTTTTAACATATTATGGAATTGGTGAGATGTATCAGGTGAGAATAAAATGAAATTGCACTCTTTTATTAACTCATATAAACTATTTCAGATAACAGTTCGTACTATCTATTTCAAAAAAACAAACGGATCCATTTTTAGCAACACAAATTTTTCTTTAAAGAAGTCATAATTTCATAACATGTTATCATTCCCTCCAAACTGTTTCATAATTTAAATTTCAAACATTTCATTAATCTATAAAATCTAAAACCAAAATTAAATAAATTATAAACCCTAAACTTATAATGTCGTATTCTCTGATGTGTTGTTGTCGGACCAAATAATTTTTGAAGTTTTCATTTCTGCTCTCCTCTCCAACAACCATTTTTTGACATAATGCACATCAAAACATACCTGAAACGTAAATTAAAAAAAAAAACATAAACAAATTCAGATTATAAAAAAAAAAAAAAACCATGTGTTAAATATGGAAGATAAATGAGGTTAACTCACACATAGCTAGATAGGGTTCCTTCATAAGTTTTAATAATGCCCCTAGTCTTTGCCTAATGTTTGATAATGAAGGGCAATTGTCTCAATCTCACATCTATCTTTGAGTAGTCACATAGAAGCTTTATATTTATAACAACAAGCAAGTTGTTTACACAAATATCACAACGGATTCCAATAGTAAGATCCATAAGCCTCACTATGGGAACCTGGCTCGAGTCAATGCCTACAGAAATAAGGGCAAAATGGTCATTTGAGATTTTGAGAACTGAGAATTGATTTTGTTTTGCTTAATTTTAGGATTCATGTTTAAGATAATGAGATTGATTGAATTTGTTTTGAAAACAGAACCTAAAAAGACCAATTTACCCTTGAAGAGAATTACGTGAACATTCCCAACATTATCATATTTCAAAATATCAGAAAGCTTCAAAAAAATCTCTGCTTTGTCAATATCTGCATTTCCCATTGCAAGACAAACATCAACGTCACTTTTACGAAATCCAAATGAATGGGCACATGATCCATAAGAAAACGATCGAGCTTCAGGCCATTCTTTTGTAACATGTTTATCCAATAATGCCATGAGATGCTTCTGTTTTTCCTTCTCTTCTTCCGGTGGAATCAGTGACACATAAATTGCAAGAAAAGATGAATTTAGCCTTTGTATATCCCCATACATTATGTACGACTTCTATAGTTCCTCATTCTTTGGTTAAGTATCCACTGTCCCCTTTTATCTGATTTGTAATCCTGAATTCATGTCACAAGAGTTGCAAATAAAGCTAAAGATAACAAGAGAGATAATAAAGTTAATGGAAGCTCATTTCAATGCATATAAGGGGCTTTTACGTTCTAATTTGATGAGTATTGTGAAAATTTATTTTGGAATGCTAGTATGCAAAAGAAAATAAAAAATCCAGATGCTATAATAATGTATTATACATATCTTGGAGTGTTACACGTATCTTTTACCTTGGTTTAGAGAAATCATTTATAGATGAGAGTTAGGCTTCAATTAAGCAAGACAATTTCATTAAACCATTTTAATAATAATGATCATTAAATTTAATTCCATATTAGATTTACACATCAAAAGCTGTGAGCAAAAATTAATAACCAAACCTAAACAATTGACAACAAAACCCTAGAATTTGATAACCAAAATCACTAAAAAGGTAAACCATACCAAAACGCATATGTTACTGGTGTTGAGGTTGTCATCTTCTTCATATCAACTTTCATATGCATTGTTGCCACCATCCATATGATCAAAACAAAAGAAAATGATATCAAATTACTGACCAAAACAATCAAGTTCTTGTAATTACTGAAATGGAAGTGAAATGGAAGACTGAGGTTCAGGGCTTAAAATATATATCAAGAATGAGGTTTAGGGCATGAAATCGTTGCTTAACTTGAATGTAGAGTGGTAGTTTCTGAATATGATGGTTAGGTCTTGAAATCGTAACAACTTCTACCCAAAATCCTATGAATCATAAGGTTATAATAAAAAATGAATAGAAATTGAGACTTTTTGATATCGAATTGATCATTGCAATTGGTTGTAAGCAATAATGGGGTAGGTTTTAGATGAATAAACCATAATGAATAAAAACATTATCATCATGTTTAATTGAAGTGTTTTGGAAGTTGCTAGAACTGTATACTTCTATAACCAATAGCTCATAAAAGAAATTGATAAGTTTCGATGTCATCTTGGCAGCATCGATACGAACAATACAACAGAGTTCATCGCCGCCATATTTGAATAGTCAGTAGAGACAACACGAATGGTAGTGCGCTGGTGATGACGGTAGGGTCAGAAAATAATAATCAGGCGAATAATTGAACTGAAGCTCTCTTCTGGTGGGCTTTTGTTGGGCATCACCGATCATCCTCGTTTTACTTGGCCCCATGGCTGACTTTCAGTCGGTGGCCCCACCTTGATGCCGACGATGGGAATGATAATCGATAGAGCATTTAGAGGCAACCAAAGGTTAGTATCAGATATTTCGTGTTCAGGTGAAGGAGAGAGAGTGAGAGGATGGAGGAATCTAGAAACGTTGGAAGTCAAGCAACTTAGAAGCAATGTATACTAATCTGATTGAGGGAAAAAGTGAGTAGCAATTTTAACAAAGTACTAGGAAATAAATTGCCAACTTTTAGAAATTATGTGCCTAAACTCTGAAGTCCCAAAAGTTTAAAGTGCCACAGTTGAAAAGTTACAAAACATATGTGGCCAAACTCATAAATAGTGTGCTTTTATATGTATATATTAACTAATGGAGAACTCATACTTTTCATGGGGTAAAATTGTAAATGCACAAACATAGAGACTAAAAGTGACAATAAACCAAAATTATTGTGGCAAAAATCCAAAATGAGAAAAGTTACTGTTAAAATGTTGTTCCACTTTTTATATATATATATATATATATATATATATATATATATATATATATATATATATATATATATATATATATATATATAACAAAATAATGATAATAAAAATAAATAAAAAACTTATAATAATATGTAAAGAATTTTATTAACCATATTTAAATTATAATTAAAAATAATAACACAATTTAAAACAGTAATTTATTTTTTTTGGTCAAATGTTTTTTTGTATTTTTACTACGGAAGTATATTTCGTAAGTAGTTGACTACGAAATATTCCGTAGCCATATAGCTATAGATTTAGATTTTGTAGCTATTTTGCAAATTCATAAACAACTTAGATACACAAATAACAACGTTTAATCTTTCCGTTACAAGTTTAGGTCTGTAAACGATCCGAATGGGGTTTGTTCATATTTGTTCGTTTAAGTTAGTCAAACAAATAAACGAACACGAATGAATGAACGAACGAGTTTTCTTGATCATGTTCGTTCGTTTAACTAATTACATTGTTCATGTTCGTTCGTTTATGTTCGTGAACATGCTAAACAAACATAAATGAACAAAGACTTTAAAAAAAAACATAATTGAATATATATGAACATAAATAAATATATAATACCAGGGCCGGCCCAATACATGGGCGAAGTGGGCTTAGGCCCAGGGCAACAACATTTTGAGGCATAAAATCAGTCCAACAATCTATATTATATATAATAGTGCCCAAAATAAATAGTTTTGTTATCTGATTTCGGACGTCCGGGACGTGAAAAAGCTAGAAAGGGCATCGAGACTTGGGCGTGAAACAACTATCAATCGACGATTAGAGAACTCGATGTCTCAATTGCGCATAGAAAATGAAACGATGCCTAGAAGCACGTTGTTGTGATGCTGTCGATTGGTGAACTCGATGTCTCAGATGCCTAGAATCCATTGCTAGACGATCTGATAAATAAAAAGTAAGAATCATAACTCTGATTTGAATATTTCTCTGATTTTCTTTAAATTTATATTCTGCTTTGGGTACCTTCAAGTTTCTTAGTGATTACATAGCTCTAAATTTCTCTAATTTCTCTGATTTCTCTAATCTGGCTCAATTCTGATTTTAAGTTCTCTAATATGGTTTGGTGGATGAAGACTTAATCTCGTGGCTCTATCCTTCTAGGTATGGAGATATACTATACTGATACAGTGAGTGATTATGATTTAGGTGAGTTTAAGTTCTTTTATTTAGATTTCTCTTCTCTGTTCTCATTCTACTTTCTGATTATTTTAACTGTTCATTGTAATTTCTGATTAATGTTCACCGACAGTGTTTTTATTATTGTTTCGGAAATTGAATTGTTTCTTGTTGGTGCGGTGACACGTTTATAACTTCCTGTGATTTCTTTCTAAACTTTTTTTTTATCTTTATGTGATTCTTCATGAGGCATACCATATAGTTTTTCTATTGAACATGAACTCTTGATTATTTTGAATATTTGGAATTCTGGACAAAAAATTGATTATTGTGGGTGCATCAGGGGCAGTGGTCAACCACCTTTGTACTCCGCTGTAGTGTATAGGTTAAAATACAAACTTCGTTACCAAATATAATAAAAAATTAGATGATGTTTGGAATTACGAATCTGACAAGGCATGGAATAGTGTGGTTTATTCCATTGGACTATTTGTGAAGTAATCAGATTCCTTTCATGTGACTTTAATTATTTCGTCATGGAATGGACTAAAAATTATACAATACGAAGTATAACCTATTTTTATTTCAGAAGTTCTTGATTTAGATTTGATCACATTTTATTTTCTAAATAAACTTATGCCCACAAGCAGTGAATTTTAGCAGAATGTCAACTTCATACAAATCCTCTTCCTGTAAATGGAATTAAGAAACAAGTTAGCATGTACATTAATTTAGTGAAAAGCATGAATTAAGCACAAATATTCTTATAGATTGAACAAACATTAAAAAGATTTATGACTTATAACAGAAACAAAAGGTATTTCACATGATAAAAAAAAAACATTTTGTTTCAACTTTCATCTTTTGATTTTGGAAAAATTATGAGAAATAGCAATGTCCTTTACTTTCTTTAGAGCAACGTACATAACCTTTTATCCATTATAGCAATGTACTTATAATAGAAATATAGCAACGCATTTGCGAAACATATATAAAGGCATAAAATTCTTATTTTGCCCCGGGTATCAAAAACAATTGGACCGGCCCTGTATAATACACTAATGTAATCAAACACAATTAAATATATGTGAACATAAAATGAACTTATATGAATGTACATAAATGAATGTAAATGAACAACATAAACAAATGTTCACAAACATAATTAAACGAACGAGATCATTGTTCACGTTCATTCGTTTAACTAAACGAACAATAATTTGTATTCATATTCGTTCGTTTATTAAAAAAACGAATATAAATGAACTTCCTGTCGAACGGTTCACAAACACTTCGTTGAACGTTCAGTTCGTTTACAGCCCTAAGTTCCGTTGTAGATTAGCTATAGATTTTTATTGTGTAAAAAGTAGCTACGAGTTTCTCTTATGTAGCAAACTAGCTATGTATTTTTATTCCGTAACTGATTTTGTAGCCAACTAACTACGAAAATGGATTACGTAACAAGTTCCGTAGCAAACTAGCTACAACCAACAACCATGTAGTATATTTCATAGTAAAATAACTACAAATTTTGATTTTGTAGCAACAATTCAAGATTTAGCTACAGAAATGTAACTCCGTAGTTATTTCCATAAAAAAAATAGCTACGACCAGCCATTTTGTAGCATATTTCGTAGTATAATATCTACACATTTTGATTACATAGTAACTTTTTGTAGTTATTCCTAGTTTAGCTACGGAGTGTAACTTCGTAGCCATTTCCGTAGAAAAATAGCTACGAAAAGCCATTTTGTAGCACATTCTGTAATATAATAGCTACGGATTTCAATTCAGTAGCAAGTTTTCGTAACTATTTAAGATTTTTCTTGTAGTCTCATTAAAATACATGTACATGAAACCCCTTAAAAATAGACATATTTTTAAACACTTGTTAGGTTAAATTCCATTAATAAAATCGTATTAAGTAACTATAGAAATTTAGAGTGAGACCATAAGATCACCATGTGCTGGATAAAATTAATGTGCTGGATAAAATTAATGTTATGGCACGAAAGTCAAAACTACGAAAATTTTAATTAACTTAAAATAGTTCCCATACGAAGTAAAGAACCCTTCCAGATCCAGTACAAGCGGAC